GAAGCCTTTGCTGATCACTTAATCGCGGGAACTGCCTTTATCTGCATGACTAGGGGATGTCTACAAGCGCTACAGGGCAAGATTTCAGATGATTCAACCATTGCAAGTTCATGCACTGGTCCGAATAAATACATTTAGTCCTCCTCAGGTACGTCAGGTAGTCGAGCATCTGGCCCAAGAAGATCCATTCCACGATAACAATCAGTGGGATTGTGGTCCAAATATGAACTCGTAGACGGCCGCTGACTTGCCAGTGGAATAAGGGGAAGACAAAATTGTTGAAGATGCCTCAAATAAGGCCTCAGGATTTAAGGAGTATTCGAAGGAGCGAACACACTGGGTGACCAGGAGACAAAGGATGAGGAAGCATGAAGACTGGAAGAGCGAGACGACAAAGGTGGGTCCTACATAGAAAGAACGGAACTGTTCATACCTGTGTTTATATGGTTGACAACGTCGCAATCGACGCAGTCGGTACGGTCGCAGGAGGAGGAGGGAGTGAGGCCCACTGCGTTGCACTACCAATGGTGATCGGTCAGTAATCGATATAGGAAGAAAACACCAGTAGTGCAAACGCTACGGGTGGGCTCATGCCAACCCTTGTGAAAGCGCCCCGACTGATTACGACGTTACCGACTGTGAACGTGGAACCGCTCGCACATCTCGTTCCCAGATACAGTCTGCTTCGCTTCGGATGATGGGTTGTGTCAGAGAGGCTGGGTTTGGCACGCCGTCTACTCTTCCTCTATCAGTTGTTGAAGCAGGTAAGCTATAACAACTGGTGGAAAACGGTTTATAAGGAATGATATGATGCAGTCTTGTCGCTTGCCGGAAGAAAAACAAGAAAAAAACGGGGTGGTGCGGCGCCAAACCGATTCCCTTTTGACACGCTCCATCATCCGCAACAAACAAGACTGCAGGTGAGGCTTCTTCCACGGTGGCGTGAATTCGGCTTCTGATGACCTCATCACCCTCGTCACCCAGTGCATAAGCCTGACTGAGGAACGATCCTTGTAACTGCGGAGGTCTCAGAATATCTGTCAACCGCGAAACCTTTCCTCTACTTTCTTCTTCTTCTTGCCTCCTCTCCCTCCTTCCACTTTTTCTTCCTAGAAATACTCGGCCAAAAGATGAAGTGAGATTACGAAAAGGACTAACTCTACAAGAGACAGATTCCATCTAAAGGTGATTGAACCAGCACAACATATGCCTGCTTCAAAGTTCACGAAACTTAAAGACAGCCCCCGCGCTCGAGTAGTACATGGTCGTCCTTCCTTGTGCAAGTAGTACAGCCCCCAAGCTAGAGACTGTCCCACTCTATTCGTCTGCACAGCGAGCGAGAAGCGAGCTACAGCCGCTGTAAGTTCTAGTTCTAACGCCTGCTCAGTTGGACCGCCTTACTTGCTAGATGTCCTCCGACGGAGGCCACTCAGTTGTTCTTAGTCGGGGCGGCGGGCATTGCTAATGCCCTGGATAATTCTGCTCCCTTCATTACAGTTTACTCATTGGAGGTATATACATTCAGTTCAACTCATTTCGCGAGGTGAAACGCGTAAAAAGCACGAACATATACTTCATAATGGTGTAGTTGTGTTTAGAAATTAAATCTTGCTTGGTAACAGGGTTAACAGGTAACTGAAATAATTATATTGATTAGTAGCTCAGAGATAAAGAAAATGCGACGATAGTACTGAAATATAAGACGCACTTAATTTGTAGGAGGAATTTGATTTATTAATACTAGAAAGACAGCAGCTATTAGGGTATGTAGGCTATAGACATTGATACGAGAACGATAAATGTGTGGTATAAAAGAAGTTAGACATTCTATAAAAGGAAAAGGGCAAGGATGCTCGATCTCGATACAGTGTGCTGTAGAGATAAAAAGATATGTTAGATTAGAGATTAATAATACATTATAAAAGTACAAGTGACGCAATTTTCGTGATGCAAAACCTCGACGCACAAAACGTGCGCTACCGTAATCCCAAATTCAGACACCGCGTTGATAAAATTCCTTTTTCCTTCCAAGAGTTTTTCCTCTGTTTGTTGTTTCATTTTTGTATTCTTTTTTTTTCACTCGGTGATATCAACTACTGCGAGATGCGATAGAGAGATCTGTGGGCTAGGGGTTGCACAGAGACCGCAGGGGGTGTGACTGTGAGGGAGCGATTTTGTTTATGTTGTTCTGGAGGACGCTTCTTGCCTGTTTTCTTCTTTGGGAGATTACTTATCAGCTACTGTTTCATAATTGGAAAGCAGCTATCCATGAGACTTTTATCGCGGAGCTGTCTTTAATTTCAAAAGATATCTACCACGGCGCTAAATCTTCTCAGTATATGAAACCTGTCTTCTTCAACCATGTTCAGGCGAATTTTTGCGACAAAAAAGCCATTTACATGCACTTGGAAGCATTCCAGAGAACATTTGCTAGCTCTACCTCGCGACTATTGGTGAGATTTTATCACTGTTCTTGTGGTTATTCACATTCAGCATTTTGGTTTGTTGCGTGCATTTTTTCATATTAAAAAATCATTTCTGAGATTCCCTCCATGCTACAGGTATACAGCTGAATTGGCAATGGAGGAGCAACTTGGAAAAATAAGCCCTTGTAGCACCTATTCTTTAGCTCAACCAAAGAATAGCGCTACCGCACAAGCACGCTCGAAACGTATGCGAACCAATAAAATCGCTCTCTAAAATCTTAAATATGCCCTCCCCTTTACCACGATAAGTAATCAGCAAAGCATAGATGGAAAAGGAGAAAAAGTGACTAGAAAAAAAGACCTGATTCCCACTGTATCCACAGCTACACCAGGCGTAGACTTTATCCTTCTTCATTCGAACCTGCAAATTGCATAAAAACATCATGAGGAGTATGGAAAATTCAGGCCCTCATAAGCGGCACCACATAAGCGGCAGAATCTCACCTTAACAGGCAATTTGGAATGTATTTTGCCAGTGCCTGGAAGCAAATGGTTTGATCCTTGCAGTCCGTATGGTTCGCCTGGCTTTTTATCTTGTAACTGCAGTAAAATTTCTTAGGTTGAACGCAGTAACGAGAACAGTTTTACAAAGAGACACTTACCAAGTGATATTTCAAGGCATCGGGTTCAGTTCCAACAAAATGAAGCCCTTTCCTGTAGAGACGATTGGGGCCGAAGCCAGTTTTCTGGCTAAAATTCGCAGCAGCAGACAGTGCGACCCGGGCAAGGAACGTCTGTCGAACCATCCAGCGAAAAGAAAGCCTAATAATAAAAAAAAATCAAGACTGACGTGGAGCCTCATACCCCTTGCTACTGAATCGTCATCGAAAAAATCAACAATACTTTGGAGTTAACTATCTTTCGAGAGGAAGAAAAAAGGTTCAAACACCAACATCATTTCCGAGCACTTTCACAAGGTAGGAATCCAAAAATGTGAAGCTTTGAAGGTTATTAAAGGAAGAAGCTCACAAGCTTTGCGTTCCTACACTGTCCAGTTTATGAGCGTTAAATGATGTTGACTGTGTGTAATTGCAGGCAACACTTTTAGTCGTAAGAAAAAAGTTCTCGCCATGGGGAAACATTTCGCCCAGCGTTGTACTTTTCCCATTCCTGTTAAACTAAGTCTTATAATGTGTTCCACCTTCTGGCGGTTTGTATTTTCGAGTCTGACCCGTTAATTTCCCGATGGTCTGTGTGCAGTCGTGTTAAAGTGCCTTTTCAGAGATAGGTTTTCCTGATTGAAATCCCGACCTACATCGGACTGGGTTCCCACGCCATGGAAGATGACGACAGCATTGTGGTGAAGAAAAGAAAGACACAGAAAGTGAAAAGGGTAGAGTCGGACGACGAAGATGAGCAGGATGACATGGAGGCGAGTTTTCCGCTTTTTCTTGATCCTAAAAAAGAGGGGGCATCCATGGAAAATCTGTTCTATGTCCTCCGTATATGAAGGTCTCGCATGCACATAGGAGATAATTAGTATGATTAAATTACCTTGTCACAATTATGTTGCAGTATGATGTTTCCAAGCAAGGATAAAGGCGTTGCCGCTAACCAGTCCCTTTTTGGCATGCGGCGCGCATTCTAGTTCCATTCGAGTATCGCAGTGGCTTGTTGAATGCAAGGCCTTACGATGACGTGCTTGGGCCAGCCGATGTACAAGTCAGTGTTCTTTTCCGTCCCAGACGAATCTGGTGCCAATTTGTTGTCCCCAGAGGGTGGAAGGCTGAGTTGGTCTAGACTGGAGCCCATCCGGGATGTTATCCACTGGCCGCGCGCGCAGTAAGTGTGCCACTTGTTACTGCACCACCTCCGCCTCAGTATTTCTGATTACCCAGCACCAGTGTCATGGTACTGCTTTGCTTATCTGAAATAGTTTTATGGAACAACATTCAACAAGCATGAAGGCCCCATTCATATCTTGCGACTCTAGATTTTTGTTTTTTTAGCGAACTGACGCTCTCGGAGACAACACAGAAAGGTTCAGATACGTTACGTAGCCTATTCCAGCTAGAGGCCCGGATATCAAAATCATCAATACGATCCAATCTTCCCCGTTTAGTCTTCGAAGGGAGGCGGTCAAGACAATCGTAATTTGTCGTTCGGTCGCACGCGGTGTTTTCTTAATTTGCAATAACCTGTAGCAGCGGGTTTTGAGCTACGACTACATGGGTCATATCCGTCTCTGCGTAAGCCGAATTGCCAAAAACGTCAAATCGCCCACTCTCCAATTGGGTGGAGCCGATCGATATGTATCTGATCCGTTCCACGCTTACACAAAATAAATATCGGGATCGGTACGTATACTGTCATCTGATCATATCTACCAAATCGCCAGAATCGCAAGGTATTAATGCTGTCCGTTTTCTCTTGGCATGAAAAGTCGCTGCTGTAATCCTAGTGCAGATGGATGGGTTTTTTAGTCTCGTAGCATTTACGCTCCCATGGCTATAGTCTGATATGTCCGTTTGTTGGGCACGATAATTTCCGTAGGAGAGCTAGCTTAAGAAAATATTACAATTAAGTGAGGCGGGGGTGGACTAGGAAATTTCGGTCCGACCCCTCCTTCTTTCATCCCCATTCATCAACAGAGGGGAGCTGCCACACCACCACAATGCTGACCGTATTCGCGCACGGCACGCTAAATTTGGAAGCTTCAAAGCGGCTTATTACTTGCTTCCAAGAGTTTCTCAGTCCACTGGTTGAGCGCTTTTGATTCAGATGTGATTCGTTTCCTCCAGATGGGCTAGCCCGAGCGCATGGGTCATCCCCTGCACTGTTGCCTTGCAGTGTTATTTTTTGCATCTGCCCACTTTACTCGGAAAACCCTAATGAGACCCCTCGTTTTGGTAATTTGAAAGCGATCCAAGACGCTTGGACGAAAGTCTTATTGAGTTTCAATAACTGAGTTTGAATTGAGCCGATGCATCTTCGTTGTCACTCTTTACAGTGTCCTTTCTCCTACTCAAGTAATCTGTCGTTTTTAGTTCGATGTCGTGGTCTGCAATGAATTGCCCAACACTGAGCTTTACCGGGTTCATTTTCCGGTGAGAAAGCGGGATGCTTTTAATTCTGAAAGGCAGCCTCGTGTCCGCTACAAGAAAAATGTCAGGATGGTAAGTGCTCTTGTGACTATTACTTTAGCATTAATTTATCCTTTTTACTGCTGATTACCCTGATCCTCATTGTAGAAGTTTACCACGATCACATTTTGAAACTTTTATAAAACTATTCGTTAACTGTCATTTTTTCCAGATGGAAGTTCGATTAGCTCCTGATGTGTCAAGTGGGTCATTCGACAAGGCAAAAGCTGAACGTTTTGCCACAATGGCTGCTGCAAATGTTAAAAGCGAAAATGTCATGTAAGTATAGGTCCCATAAATTGCCTAAGTCAGCTATCTATTTACATCTCTACTCCTTATTCTAGAGCCCATTCTAAATTTGATGAAGTCTACGAAGGCCGAGCGTACGTGAAAGATGACTTTGTTCTGTTCGCACTCGGTTATTTTAGAGGAGGTAAGGTGTGATAGCACTTTTTTTGACTAGTTTCCAGAGTGTACGGTTCCCACGCTCGGTGTAGGTCCAGCACTAAATTTCTAGAAACACCTCAGCCCTATTGCTTACAAGGTGGAGGATGACGAAATTCTAATGGATAGGGAATAAAGTCTTCGCCGTTGATCCATCCTTTGTGAGATGCGCCACGCATTCTAGTTCCATTCAGAAACGGAACGCTGCATTAAATGCGATGTGGCCACACAATGAATTGCGGGGGTCAGGCGATGTACAAGTCAGTGTTCTTATTCTCCTAGACATTTTCTATGTCCTCGGAGGGTAGAAGGCTTGGTTGGCCCGGGTGAGAGCCTATACGGGATTTGACCCCTGACGCGCGCGTGGTAAGCGTGCCACTTTCCACTACACCACCTCCGTCATGCAAGATATTTGGGGAATTTATCCTCAGAAGCTGAATATCCCAACAACAAGCTCTACCGAATTTTGGCCATCTAAGGTGTTTCGGCAGGAACGCGAAGCGTAGTTACGCCTGAAAGATTCAGCAGAGCAAAATGCGCAGAATGGTAAACTTTGAGTAAGGTCGAAATTTCGATCCAAACTTTGGAAAAGAGGCCGTGAAAGGTACACTCTTCCAACAGCTGCTGCAACTTCGTATCTCTTTCTTGTTGGCTGTTATTTTCCGCAATGCTTTCATTTCCAGTGATGTGGAGGTAAATGAACTTTTGTGTGAAGTATGTGACAACGAGCTGCTTCAGATACGTTTTACATAAATCCAGTAGCGGGAACCTTCGACATGCATCGCTCACTTGCTCATCTCAACAATGCTGGCAAAGGAGATCATGACGATGAAGGTAAACTTCCTGTTTCTACAAAAGCTGTTCATGTAGAACTAGCAGGTTTTTTGTCTGCGGTGCGTTGACAACTGGACTTTTTCTTTTGTTGAAAAATGTACCACCACACTGGGATGCTTACGCCATCACTGAAAAGCATTCAGAAGAGAACACAGCGCTTAAACTATCGAGGGCTCTTTTCTACACTAGCCCTTATTCACTCAAGAATAGTTTCTTCCATGTGCGAGGTGTGTGCATCCACCACTGCGACAGCGCGCCACCTTCGCCGCTTGAAGATGAACAGGAATGGGCTGGAGAGTAGTGATACACGGTGCCGTCTCCATACTCCGCCCGCGCTCCGAGGGTTCAGACAACTCGCACGTTTGGCCATGGTCAAGCGTGTGGCTGGTGCGGCAGCGCGGGCGGAGTATGGAAAGTGCATCCTTTATCAGTACCCTCCAACCCGTTCCTGTGCACTTTTGAGCGGTGAATGAAGCCCTACTGCAGTTGTAGACTCATTCAGCTCACAATTGTCAGTTTGGACGAAATATGCTTTTTAGGAGAAATGACTGGTGAGTCGGACACCGAGGCCGCTGGCACAAGTGCTAAACAGGTAATTATAACATTCTATATACAACGCTTTATAACACGCTCTTATTAGGTTAACAAGGAAACTCGACCACAAATCAAAAACTTTTTTCCCAATTTTCGACATTATTTAGCACCAGTTTTGTTTTCAACACCAAATCTTTACCAGTAAATTCCAAAGGGCAAGTGAACTTCTTCCGCCTTCTGGGTTTATTATTATGCTAATTTTGAGGTCAGGAGGCTGTGACACAGAGAAATCATTGACTATCATTCTGATATCATTTCAAAACTCTAATTTCTCTTCCTTGGAATGAAACTTTAGCCACACTGGTAGTCAGAAACCATAAGGTTTGGAGGAGATTGGGGAGACCAGCCAGCTTATCCCGGATGTGCAACGGATGTTTGGACCCGCCTCGAGCTGCTGTAGGTACACCTTCAGTTCTCCTGAGCGTTTTTCTTGGAGGCTCTTTGCCGGATTTGGTTGATATGTGCAGAAACTACGCCGGTGTGTCATCTTATCCCATTAAAATTGAAGAAGATGTCAACGCTGGTGAGGTTTTGACTTTGGGTACATTGCTGGCTCCACGCTGTGGAGGAGCCATGCATTACAGGTCCACCTTTATCACAGAGTATCCAGCTTTCATCAGTAGTCACTGGATCCGTTGAGAAGTCCTTTCGTTCTGGGTAAAAAGCATGTACTTTCCAACCCGTATGTTCATCTGTGACTGGCATTCTATAAAACGGCAGTCATTTGTTTTCCTTCAGTTACCGAAAATTGTGTTTCGTTTTTCTAGAAAAGACGCAGGGTCATAGTTAAATGCAGTTGGCATGATGGCAGGGGGGGGCGCCTGCTGCCACCGGCATTGGTGGAGGAGCGGATAGGGGTAAGGGCAAACGCTCTGTCGCAGCTCTTCCACCAACGTTGTTGGCAACAATTGGCCGCCCTCGCCGCCGTGCCAACTGCCTTCAATGCGCAAGCATTATTCCTATGATAACATTACCTATGATTACACAGATACGCGTGAAATTCACAAGGCCAGAAACGGAACGGCAGAAGAAAAGGAGAGAAGCAAGTGCACTTCATAGAGAGAAGTTAATTGCCAGCGATTCATGGATACCAATGAATGTCCACTTGAAAGAGGTTTGATCGAATGTTTTCACAATGCTGTCGGTTTTCCACTTCTTTTTTGGAACCCGAGAATTGGTCATGATCTGTCACTGTCAGTCGTGTTTTAGGATCCTGCACTTATTGAAAAGTTCTCTCGAATGACCACACTTCCGCCGGAGAAATCTGAATCCGCAGAAACTGTCACAACAAGAGATCTCGTAGAACGCGGAATCATTTGTGGTGAAAGAGAGCAAATGTAGGTCCAACTGCTCAAGTACTGACTAAAGTGGAAGAAAAATTTGCTGTATTCGATTACAGTGATCTCACTAGAAGCGAACTTCTGGTCACTCATCAACGTATTCGAGAAATGCCTATTGATCAACAAGTGAAAGCCCAGGTTTTCAAATGTAGGCGTTTTTCTTTCACTTTTTGAATATTCGGAGCCTAATGTAATGCGTTTTCGCTTTCAAAAGGCAGGCACTTTATTTCCATTTGCTATCCTGATTTTAGCACGGGTCGTTGCAACGGCCTGATATAGCCAGACTAGTAGATCCTTCTATCAGCCGCGACGAGCTTTTCGAATATCTCCAACAGTGTGCCCATCTAGTTCAAGGTGAACGCTGTGATCTTGAATGGAATTTTTTGTTTATTTTTTAGTGATACCCTGAGCCACAGTTACTTACTTTCAGGTGTCTGGGTTTTCCAATCAGAATTTTTGTATCATGATCTCACTGCTGCCCATGCTGTTACACCCGGAAAGGTGGGACCATGTTTCTTGTTCTTCGTTTGTTCAATCTCTAGTATTCTTCGTGTTTCCCGAAAACTCGGTGTACAGTTATCACGTTTTTGTTGGTTTTTGCCAACTAATTACATAAATCTGATCCGTGGGAAATCTTAAAAGCAAAAATGTTTTCTTCTGCAAAATTCTCATAGGAAATATTTGTAGTTGGACGAACATCGCGCTGATATGTGGCGATGTGCTCGAGATCTCGCACTATGTCTCCTCGACGCAGGACAGAAAGGTTACACGTTCTTTACTCACCAGGTAAATTTATACCGATTTGTTTTCAGAATCGACTGTTTGATTTTTCGCCAGCGAATAATT